GATGCCATTCTGGCTCTGAAAAGGTAATCTATAATCTAAAGGTAAATATATGTCCTATAGGAACTCAGTGTTATATGCTCTGGCTCCTAACCATCAGGAGCCAGAGCATAATATAACACTGAGTTCCTATGGGGAGTATATTTATTCAGATGGTCATATATATATCAGCCAATACTTAACATATTCAATTGGTTTTCCACATTTGGACATTATTTTTGATGTTCTTTCGGAATATGAAGAAAAAATTGAGAAATTCTAAAAATAGATTTTTATGACGTCACAGCTTCGGTACTCTATATTGGGCAGCTATCTGAATACAGTACCCAAAAATAAATGAAAAAAGTTACCATTAAAGGGATTGGGTATCTAGTCTCAGATTCTAAATAAACTCCTGGACTTAGCTCATGCTGCAATCATAATTATAAACGTTTAGGTCAGTCAGGAATCCCATGACGTTAACAAGCCGATCCCCCATCTGATTATGAAGATAGATATTTTTTTTGAGGCACTTCACACGATCATTAATTTGAAGCACAATTTGTTAAGGGGCTTCAATATATTAGACCATATTACAGACGCTGATGACACGTAGGGCCATGCATCTCAGATTTGGTATTGTCAAACAATGCCTTTAAATGAAAGGCACAAGAATAAGAAAAAGGCATCCAAATGCAAATTCCTTTGAAAATGAACATAAATTTTATTCATCATCACTCAATGGTACAATAATATTCAAAATCAGCATATAATAATAGTATGACATAAGCAAAGAATTCATTTCACATAATTGCAAATACATTCATAATATCTGCAGATCAAATTTACTATATTCCCATGTTAATGTTTCATACACGAACAATACAAGAAAATATCATAATTATACATGTATATCATGTCATTGATATCCTATTACCCTATCGTAGCACTAGGTAATAGTTCATTATTTCACTGTACCAAACTTTATCTTGAATCATAGACAAAGTGTATGATATCAATACAGAAAAAGGAACAAAAATAGCATTACAATTTATGTCATGCCATACACATGACCAATATAGTTTATCAATTGAAATGAAATAATCTTCCATTTTCCATTCAGACTTTCCTGCCTTTATCCCAAGCTTGTTCATACTTATGAACCAAAATCTGTGTGATATTGGATGAGATACAAGTTTAACTTATTGCAATGTTAATAATAAACACGTTAAACATAAAAAGGGGAGGTTGAGTATCTGTAATAACATAGCAGAAATAGCTTGTTGAACACACAACACATGCAAGCTTTGTTAATCAATATATTCTTATTTTCATAATGTTCTACTCTCTGAGTTGTATATGCAGTTGTTTCAGTACAATGATCAGCATTTCAATTCAAACATAAAAAGGGGTAAAAACTCAGGGGAGAGAAGAAAGAATCTGTAACGTTACAAAATCATGAACGTTAGATTGACAAGATACACATTGAATCAGAATATACATGTATGTTGCAACCTGTTTGTCATGTTCAACTCATGTGTCATTGAAGTAATAACACTGTTTAGATGAAGACGTCAGAAACGTACATGAATGATCATGAAAGCAACACAACAAGGTGACTAAAAAAAGAACAACCTAAAATAACATTCCTAAGTCTCATGAACCACCAAAAAAAGGAAATGTAAAATTGCACAATAGTCTTATATCTGCTCCCAACAGTATAGTCTAACATTAGCACAGAGATCGTTAGGCAAACTGTGGGCTCATGTTTTTATGTATTTTAAAGTAAGTTTGTAAAAGTGATTGTAAGCTCCAGCGATGATTGCCTCTATGTCAATTTCTAATGCTAAATGATTTTATAACCAAATCCAAATTTACGGTTTACCCAACACCATATCTAACTCCAGAGTCCAGACCCAGCTTATAGGCAAATATCAACCAAAAGCTGAATCCTACATCTTTTGATATAATAAAGCTTGGAGCAAATGCAGCAAGAACAACTTTGTATCTCTTTATTTGAAAAGTTAAGGTTTTTATCAAGTTTTTGGACATTTGTGATGATGCATGGTTTTAGATGTAAGCGTAACTCAATTTTTAAAACTGTTTAGCAAGGCATAAATTGTAATGATGCGCTGATTAACACAGTAAATGTGTGTCGACTCACAGAGTAAAGTTCTGATAGTAAATTTACTCTTATCAAGAGGTGTCAAAAGAGAATAATAATAATAATAATAATATTTAATTTTTATATAGCGCTTAATACATAAGTCTCTAAGCGCTTTACAAATATACTATTGATCAGAATCCCTCTACGGTATTTTGTATTACTCCATCCACTATAAGCAATAATAACCCAAAATGCGGATAAAAAACAAATTAACAGTTATTTTGTCGTCGAAGAAGATGCCAAATCTAACAGTGTTGGTCTGAATGAAAAGAATGACAAACTGTACAAAATTATTTCACCACCCCCATCAGAAAAAAAGCATACATATCATATCTGTGTTAACATGTGAGATATCCACGGCCTCCGCTCCATAATTTAGTCTCTGCGTTTCTCTATAAAAAAATATATGATATCCTCAAAAGTAGAAGTGTAGGAGGAAGAGGAAATAACTAGAAGAAACGATAGTAATGATGACCTTTGTAATGTCTTCAATGAATAGAAATAGTCATTTTCAAACAATTGAAACAAACCATTCTTGAGTAGGATTTAGATTACAAATGTATCCATTTAATATACAATAGAACTTATGAGATGGTATATGATGACTAGTGTCGTATTATTTCTATTAGAAGATTCATTAAACCACATTTAACAAGATATGGGGGAAAACTCAAGTTGGATGTGGATTACAAACATATGTATCTGAAGTGAAATCGAAGGAACAATAGTCATGATGACTGGTGTAATTATACTTCTTTCTGAAGAGTCAGTTTCCTCTACACTTAAAAAACTAGACATCTCAAAACAAAATAAAATCCTGAAGTTGGATTTGGATTACAAAATTTTGCATTACTGGTATATTATGTCTTGTTTACCCAGGGCAGCCTCATCAGTATCAATACTGTTCTCCCTGAGGACCCTGCAGTCATATTTAGAATGAAATTTAGAATAAAATAGAAGAAAGAAATAAAAACAATGATGAGTTGTGTGAGCCGTGTTACTATTATTCCCACCCAATTTTTTTTTTTTTGCTGGGTTGAAATTAAAAAAGTATGCATTTCAAATAAACTGAAACTCCACCATAGGATTGACTTAAAATTAGCAGCGTTATTTCTTAAGTCACATTTTCATGTTCATTCGTATGTACACTGTGAAAGATGTAAACCTGTCATGAATATATATAATATGAATATATGCAGGATACCAGGGCAATAAGATTTGTGTTTTTTTATGTTACAACACATATACAACAAAATAAATAACCTTTTCTACACTTTTAACACTAATTTACAAGAAATTGTACACACTATTTTACATACAAAAGGGTCACAGAGCTAGAAACTATGATTTTCTTTTTTTTCAGAACTACGCAATTGGCATTTTTTTCTCCAAAGCAGCAATGTCACAGTACAATACAAACACTTGAGTAGCACCTTTGATTAAGAGGGCGAATTCAAGTTTAGGTGTTTGGTGTTAAGTGTCAAAACCAGTGTAATGCTTTAATACACCAAGTATGCATGATGTTATACACCAGTGAATTTTTCAATGATTACAGAGTGTAAATCAATTGATGTAGAAACAACCAGTGAATTAACACTGGAATATCTGTTTTAACACTGGGATGCCATACCCTTTCTAACACCACAATTTTAACACCAAACTTGTATCACCATAGAGTCACACATCTTGTAAATGCATATGAACTTTGCAACAAATATTGAAGAGATGTGCATGCTTTATTATGCTGTTTTTTGCATGATTTAACACAGTAACGAAGACACCAACAGGAATCTCATGGGTTCACAATTTTGACACCAGACCCCAAGAATTTTGAGAATTAAAAAAGGCCCCACATATACAGACCGGAATTTTGTTTAACCCAATATGCAGGAAGTTAATGTGTAACCCCACTTTAATCCTTTGCATGTATATAGAAGGATATCAATTATCCGTCCACATTTTATACAATTGATGTTTGTACGCATATACATATATTTCACATAATTAAATGTTTTATTGAAGATGGTTTCAGTAGTTTGTGACATTAATTGTTTGTTGAACACATGTTGTGATACGAATTATTCATTAAACTTGTTCAATGAATAATTTGTTTAACATTTCTTGGGATACGAATTATTTATAGAGCTTTACTGTCTAGTGTCTGTGATATTAATTCAACAAGCCTTGTGGTATGAATATTCAATGAATATTTTGTGTTGTAGGAACTATTCATTGACACATCTTAAGTTATGAATAATTCATCAAACATGACTTGTGATATGGATTATTCACTGAACATATCTTACGACATGAAAATTCATTACAAAGCTATTATGATATGCAATATTCAAAAGACATGTCTTCCAATATGAATTATTCATTGCCTTAAAGAATTCATCTCTTCTGCCTAATATTAACAGACAAAACAATTTCAGTAGCTTTTCCCCCTGATAAATGAATACGAATTGGACCAAACATGTATATTTTATGTATGCAAACGTGCTAGCCTATGAATTATTCATTCCACTTGCGGCAATGCAGTCTACCCTTAATAGAGGAAACGACCTATAAAATGTGCCACCACACTGGAGGAAGGGGTTAAAAGAAAGAGGAAAGGGGGGCCCCTGCAGGGGGTCATTGAGGGGAAGTGAACAGTCATCGAGATAACTCATCAACCTAGGGGGGTACCTTCTAAACGTCTGCCTGTGTATGTGAGTGTGTGTTGCAAGCACCGTGTATGATATGGTATTCGTTAGCAATCTTTTATATGCAGGGAGTGAATCCAAGAATGATATGGTTATGACGAGAAGGGCACAAGTTTTTCACATGAAAATAAAATGAGCGTCAAAATCAAATATACCGGTATCCCAATTTCCTATGCAGTAGACTCTGTGTCTTTATTAGGCAGCAAACTTGTAGTAACAAATGCATTTATAATAGCTTTAAATTAGCAATTTTTTAAAATCATAATAAAATTGGAGATACAGCCAACTAAAATAATCATCAACTGCCTTTTATTTGTGAACAGTGATTATTCCATTTTTTGCAAGCATTCAAGAACATAAATTGAGTTGCACATATAAAGAAAAGAATGATAATTTATCAACAATTTGAATCTTAAATCCATCCGTTATTTGTTAAAAGTACCGGTACATGTGTTTGTTTGAAATAAACATCAGAAAAAAAGGTAAAAATATTGTCAGTCTACATCAATACATAATGTTGATAACTTTGAGGACTGTATCAATGATATAAACTTAGCACAAACTATTTTTTTAACATGGATATTTGCTTATTACTATGAAGCCAAAATGTTACCAGCCTTGTTCTGTTTTGGGGTTGTACCTTATCCACAGTTAGAGTCAGCAATTTCAGACCATGGCAAATTGGAAAAAATTGCATGACTGGGACCGAAAGTTAGCTCTCCTAAATAACAAACCTCCAATAGGTTCCTTTAAAAGTTCATTCACCACATTTCTCCTATTCTTTTAATACATTTAACACCATGACTATTGAATATCTTTCTCAATTCAGTTTTGACAATCATTTATGGCCTCCCTCCACACCAGATAACCTCCATAATTCAGTGTGAATCATTAGAAGGGAGGCATTTATATAACCGTTAAATGTCAAACATCACAGATGTTTTCGGGCAAGCTTGGTTGTTGCCATGGCAATAATGCCAGAGACTAACCATGAACAGGATTGAACACTTGCCAAAAAGAAAAGGGGGGAAAAAGAGAGAAGAAAAAAACAATTCAAAGAAATTGATGATGTTATTGAAACTTACAATTCATTTCCTTATTAACTGACACTGTCACGTCGATGAGTAAATAATTGGATATTCTGAGTACCAACAACAAAATAAAAATAATGAAGGATGTTTACAAATAACGTTTAGCACTTGAAGATGAGCTTGAGCTCTGGTATAGGCATCGTATGTTGAAAAAACATGGCTATAATTCATTCTGGATTGTTTATTATGCAGTAGATTGATTGTTAGTGCCAGTAAAATAAAAAAAAAACCTCACAACAAACTTGCTGGAAATCATTTTTATATGCTTATTACTCAGCCCCTATACATTTTCTACCATAATCGTTAGACACATGTCATTTATTTGTAATCTTGAACATTCAACTGTAAGTTTTGCTGGATTCTGTGAGAATTTATTTTCGAACATTACCAGAACTCAAGATTATCTTTAAGTATTCATTGTAAGGGAAAAGAGAAGGACAAGTAAATTTTGATTAGAAACAAGACAACATAGAATCAATTGACTCCAAGATATATTGTAAACAAAAATACTTTTCTTCCCATATCTTCTTTATAAACTTGACCAGTGTTACAAAGAACTATCCTTTATGCATGTATATGGGCTCATTTGTAACTGTTCTTAGACACTGTACTATAGGAGAAATTTCTATGGGAGCTTTTGCAACACACAAACTTGTACATGCTGAAATGACAATTGAACTGAAAAAATATTATAACCAAGATATGCAGTTTTTATAACAAAATACAAATGCTTTATAAAACATAGTTCGATGTAAACAAAAATAAAATAAAAAATTGAGGAGGCACAACATACAAAGCATAGTATCTGGCAGTGTTCCTACTTTGAAACCACAAATACACAACGTATTTCATGACCCTGGACAAAACTGAAGAAAGGAAATCTTATTGTATCGAAGCTACAAACATTGAGAACGCACAGAAGTTCCGCTTAGAACAGTGTAGAAAGCAGGAGAGACCAGAAGGATACAGTGATTCAGTTGGCTTTTCCCCTCACAGGCACAGATTGAATAGCACGATAGACATAATAATGATAATAATCTATGAAGAAACAAATTCTTGAGTATCTAGTTTTTTCGATCCTTTTAAGAGAGTGTAAATTCATTGAAGAGATCATATCGTAAAAGAAAGTGAAATTACATCGAAATGAAGCGCAGTGACCAAAACAAGAGGATGTTGGTTAAGTTTAACCTACATGTATACCCATTAAGGATATCCTTTAGTCTTTATCGTATGAATTCAAATACGATAGTTAATACTTATTCTTCTTCCAGGGAAGATCTCAGACAATAATAACTCGATTCCACGATGAAGATTAGCTTCCCATCTGTCGTTTCCTTGAAGGTCTGAAACAACATTGACAAGACGAGTTTGATGATCCTCAACGGCACTTCATTCTCTGATCAGTCAAGTCCTGCAGCGATTGCACAGCCAGTGTATGCAGCTTATTATCTAACCATGCTTTCAGCAAGATGTCATCAGAAAGAAGGCCATTGCTGTTTAATAACCAACAGTCAACGAGCTACCAGTACATGTAATACATACTTCATGTGGTTCTTTGCAAGGACATGTACGTTTCAGCTTCACTGTTGTATATCATATCACAGTGAGTGCCCCAAGGTTCACAGTTGGGACCAGTCTTGTTCATTCTCACATTGTCTCTATTCTGTGCTTTTCTTTCTCTTTCTCTCCTCTCTCTCTCACATTTACACAAACACACACTCTCTCTCTCCTCTCTCTCTCTCTGTCTCCCTCTCACCTTTACACAAACACTCTCTCTCTCTTGTTTATTCTCACACATAGAAATGAGACCCTCTGCAGGCAGATAAAACTTTTCATGCATACCCAGGCAGTTAATTTTCAGTTCATGCTAGGGTATTTTTCAGCGTCCATCGCAAAATATTCAAACCACTTGCAATGTTAATTTCTTTGATTAGGCCGCGTTAAATACAGCTTGAGTTCCCCGTCGTCCGAGCTGAATATGGGCGAGCGTTTGTAGTGGTCTACGAGGTCGTCTAAAGACTCAAACTTTCGTTGACCGATGCAGAACTTCTTATCTGACCGTGTCACTTTGAAATGCTTCACCCTCTCTGGAGCCTTAACAGATACAGCAAAGTCACCGGGCTGTGGAAACGCAAAATATAAAACAGAGAGAAAAATTAATAGACACTTCAAATTATTCAAGAGTTATGATTTTACAGACATATGCAAGATAACGATAGACCCTCTGATTTGGAAATGTTGTGAAACCACTTCCTCTTAATAAAATTAGATGCTTTAAAATATTTATAAATACCAACAGGGCCACAGTATTTGGAAATGGTCAATCTGACACAGGAATCCAATATTTTTGAGCATCTTACACAATACTTGTGGTTGGAGGACACATACTCTGGCAACAACTGCTCCGCACTGAACCAAATAAAAAAATTCAGCCTTTGACTAACCCTGACCAAAACCCGTGACCATCCCTGACCAAAACCCTATATCTTTGATGGAATAAAGCCATGAGTGATTGCAGAGGGAGTATACATATTGATGCATCCCACATGTTGTCTTGTCTGTGTAAAATAGTACAACAATTTTGGACAACAGAAGAAGAAATTTTTTTAAACCAACGATGGTAATGAATATGTCCATGTATAATTTCAACTTGCATCATAGATCGGTCCCCCCAAGCCATCGTCAGGGATGTTGCAAGACTGCATTTCATTTAATCTGGACCTAGAGGAATCAGAATCCTACACAGACAGAAGCCTGCTCTTACCATTGTTTCACTTTCTCGTATGAGGAATAGTCCACTTTCTCCTGGACAACCGAGAATCTTTTCTGAATCCTGTCTCGTAATTCTTCCGTGGAACCAATCCCTATCGTAAAATCCAACGGAGGACGACGGGGTAAAGCTGTTGTCCTCGTCATGCATTTCGATGGGTTTGGGGGGTACAGCGTCCTCAATAAAGAATTTTGTTGGGCACACAGGGTCCGCGTTCTCTACAACCTTCACATAGTTGCTGGGAACTAGTCCGACCGTACCGAGCTTGTTGCGTGCTTTCCACCAGTCCTGATCGTCAGAGGGATTTGATATAATGTCCAGTAGCTCGCTGGCGTCAAAGTTTAACTCTTCGTCAGTTCGTCCCTTGAATGCGTACAGAGTTGTAACACCCAGCACAAAATCGTCCGGGATGGAGTTGTCGTCGCCCTTCGAACTCGTGCTGGAACCATGACTGTTTGGCATACTTGTGTCATCTTCACTCACGTAATTTGAAGGGAACCACCCCTTTTCTCCATTGCACTCTCCGCGCCACCACCCGTCCCCAGACTTCTCAAGAACGTTCACTTGTTCACCTTTGTTCAGGTTGAGTTCGTCCTCCTGTGCGGCTTTGTAGTGGTACATGACCCTCGCGGGTTGCGAGAATGGCATTTCGTTTCCCGGCTGTGCCGTGTGCGGATGTGGGCTTTCGCTGTTCCGCGGCGAGATCGGACGTGTCACTGGTTTCCCTCCACGCTTTGCCGAGATCCCCTTGCGGATTCGTTCCACGAGGCCTAGCTTGTCTCGCTTCACGTAGTTCGAAGGGACATAGCCACATCGGCCGTTCTGTTTCTCTACCTTCCACCATGATCTTGAATCGTCGATCAGCTTGAGCTTCTCGTTTCGTTTGATGCTCAGCTCCTCGTCTTGCTTTGAGTCATAGTCCCATTTAGCGACTACTAACACGGCCTCCTCCTCCGTCATCTCTGCAATGCAACCAAAGAAATAAAATGTTAACCCATTGTTTACTAGAACCTGGTGGTCCCTGTGTTATTAGTCTATGGGAATTAGATAAGTCAGTAGCCAACGGGTTTCATGCACCACATGAATGGTAGGAAACCTGACATGGGTTCTGGCAACTTTTTTCCTGGGCTGTTATTTGTTTCAGGTTAAAATGGGTTAAGAAGTGGATTGGGTTGAGGGTCAGGCATAATATTTTAGCTAGGAATTAGGATAGGATATGGACTGTGTACACCTGAATTTGTCACCATATTGCAATGCCACAAAGCACATGCAAGGTAACATACTGTACATGCTCTTCATCATAAACTATACACATGTTAAAGCACACAAACAGTATTTGTGCACTGTGCACACAATATATACATTGTACAACTGTAAATGTACCTGTACAATGTACACATCATTGATGTATCAAAGTACATGCATTGGCAACCTATTAACTGTTTTTCTCATTCCATATTACCAGACTTTATCGGAAAGGGAAAAAAAGAAAGGGGAAAAAAAAACATATCCTGTTTCCTGTTTGTTTGTTTTTTTGGAATGTGGTTTTTAATCAAACACAAATGATAAATTCCTATATGTTTATAAAAAGAATAAGTATATTCAAACATTATTGGACGTAATTAGTATTTTTTAACACGCTCTATGAAGTTCATTTCAACCAGCAAACCACATGTTTACCCTCTTCTGTAGAATTCATGTCTCTATTGTGTATTTGTGTGCCAACTCTCTTTCTAATTCTCTCTCTCTCTCTCTCTCTCTCTTTCTCTCCACATTTGTCTATCAGGCAGACTTTCACACTTATTCTTTCCTCTCTTCTCAATACAATTAAATCATAATGTTTCGGGGAAAACCAACTTGATTTATCAACATTCCTCTCATACGAAAATCATAAAGAAAGTAAAACTGTACGATGGTGCCAATGTACACCTACTATGTAACCCTACACGGTAAAAAGATAGTGGTTCACAGGGACTTTTCACTCTGTTGATTTCAAATTAAGCGTAGAGACTGGGGAATTCCCCATGCATTTATAATTCATGGATAAAGCAGGCATACGTGTTACTGTACATATAGAGGACCCTCATTATAAAGAGCCCTGTTATAACAAGGTGATTTTGCTGGTCCCAGCTCTTTCTATTATTTTTGTTTAACCCTGTTATATAAAGATTTCTAATATATATACATACAGTGAGTGATTTCAAGTTGGGTGTTTAAGGCTGGTGTTAGTGTTTAATAAACACTAACACCAGCCTAAACACTGAAATGGAAATCAGCTGGTGTTAAGGCTTTGACCTCTGAATATCGTCAACTTCCGGTAGCTAGTGTTATCGATTTTGCAAAATTGTCGTCTGCTGAATCGACCTTTGTGGCTGGTGTTAATATTTTACGTACAAATGTCCTATTCACTAACACTAGCCCCTAGGGATTAAGCAAATGTTGATTTCCAGTTCGGTGTTAGTGTTGTACCCGCACACATTCAACGCACGAACGACGCCAATTTATTGTCTGACGATCAAATAAAAATATGTGAAACACGTAATTCCTATATTCTTTCGTGTAAAATTAGTTATTTTCTAAGACCAGAGAAATAGGTGTAAATTTATTCTGTACTTTTCATGATATCTTTAGTTTTGATGTACTAATTTTAAATCATGGTCGTAAAATCAAGTATGTGGTGACGTCACGGCTGGTGTTAAACTATCAATTTTGATATCGGTATCGGGCTCTTAATTTCATCAGCAAATTCTCCGCTCGATTTAAGAGCTCTTGACTGCTCTAAACACTAACACTAACACTAATACCAAACTTGAAATCACTCATTGTATCTAGGTAGATGAAATTTCTAGGGTTCCAAGGACCTACATGTATGTAAGCCTACATGTACTTTTACAATGTAGCTACATTAGTACAGTTGCGGCATGTACACATATACATGTACATGTAATTACATCTGTATTCCACATTGTAATTACATGCACTTGGTTCCACAATAACATTTTTAGGAAGGGGGATGGGCCGGATTGTACATTTTACAGTCCGTATGTACACGGCACCCCCTTTTGTAAAAACTTCAAAAAACTTTGGGTACATGTATATGGGCTTTGGAAATTTAGAATGCCTAATTATTTCATTAATGAATTCCAAAGGATAAAAAGAAGAAAGTTCTCAATTCAGCAGTAACTTGATATGCATGAGAAACTGGAATGCCCAGAGTCTCCTCTTCCCATTATCAAAGATTTATTCTCTTCCTCTTCCCCTCAAGTCATCATCATGGCCTGGATGGATGAATAAAATATGGATTACACCAGCAGAATGTTAAAACAGGCTTTGCGCTTAAAGGGACAGTTGAGTTCTGGTCATGCGATTGCAAAATTGTGCAAGAAACTGTGTGAAATCGATCACAAAAGGTTGATCATCTAAGTATTGGTGTGTACTGCAAGGTTCTGAAATCATCAAAATGATAAGAAGTTTGGCCCAGTCTTGGTAAAGTTACAAGCACTGTACACAAAAATATGTACATGGGACTACACGAAAAAGAAGGATTTTTATGATGTCACATATCATATTTAGAATATTATGGCATTTCAAGAACCATGATTTTCAAGGAACATTTCTTCTCTGATGTTCTTCCACACCTGCATAATAACAATGATATCTGCTCACAAAATTTTTGTCACCTCTTCCAGAACTCAACCTTCTCTTTAACCCTGAGAACATCCACTGGTATGATCAACATAGGCATAGACGTACATGTATAGGCTAATACTATAGGCCTACGTGTATGCCATGCATGTAGAATGTACCACTACTGCTCTACCTTTACACAGTCCCTCAGTACACATGTAGTCACTATGTGATATACAGTGCATACATGTACATGTATAAAGTGCAGTCATAAACCAAGAAATGTCATCAATTGGAGTTTCATATATACAACCACAAACTATCTCAAGAGTGCTTGAATAAACTTGAGATGTAAATTTATGCGTATACAAATTACAATATACATGTACGTACATGTACACAGTTAAAAAAATGAATTATTCATACCCCTAGTTACCAAGTTTTGTAATTTATTAAGTATGTGAACAAATTATTTATCCCCATTAATAAATGTAGTTCTTGAGAATGTGATAAATCATAGGTTACATCTAAGGTATTCATCAAAGGCCCTAATTCAACCAAATCTAACCTTTCATTCTTGAGTTATGAAAAAGAAAGAATTTTTTAAACAATGAGTATGAATAATTTACATGTACATGTACATGTACACGTACATGTCAATGTACTATACTCTATACATAACACGTACAGTATGTACAGATGGAAGCTACATGTATGTACACAATAAGAACGAATTACATGTACATGTAATGACACAAACAACAAAGTAAACCGACCCATTCAAGGCCATTCAAGGTTGTCTAATTATAGGTCTGGTGTTGGTCTCATGATGTGACCGGGGTATTAGCAAAAAATCGCTCTTTAGATTAATTTTTAAAAAATATGGACCGGTTCCTTACCCTATAATGGCAGGTTGTAAAGCACAACTTGCACTCCAAATAATTGAAACCATGAAGGGTCTACAGCCCTACAAATTGTCTTCATACTCTTGTCATGTTTTAATCAACGCACATTATACAAACACATGTTGTACATGACCCCTTCATTTGATGGCAACACTACTACAAGTAGAACCCACAGGCAATACGAACAAGTGCTAGACCAAAAATAGGCCTCCAAACCAATTGATCCCCGGCTAATCATGGAGCCAAAAATAATAATTCCTCATTACATAATTTGCAAAACTAGTTTGTGTATTAAGTCATGCCCGCCCTGCGCTGCGATGAATCATCGCCGCAGCTTGAGATTAACGCTAGCCCTGTCGTCGGCAAACTTTCAAGCCCCAGAGCTCCCCCTATGAGATCACGCGCCAAGATCGTAATAGAGTTTGCGATAATCAATCATGAAATATTGCCAACCTTATTGAGTTCTTGTAGATTCATGTGGAGTAATTTTGTTGTATAGTCTAGCCAGAGCCAGAATGGCATTAACTCACATTATTTTACAAGGGATAGTGCCCTTCTGGCTCTCAGCAGATCATTTAATGAAGAACAGACTGCAAGGTTCATAGAACTGCATGCCAATACATGTACATGTATGGAGAAAATAATAATAATAACAACAATAAAAACAATAATAATAATGATGATGATGAGAATAATAATAATGACGATGATGAGAATAATAATAATAATAATAATAATAATAATAATAGTAATAATAACAATAATAGATGTGAATAGATAAAAATAGATATAAATATAATAATAAAACATAACAATAACAACAATAATAATTATGTGCAAAGTAAACTCGCATTTGATTTTCTATTCTTTGGACTTTTTGACGAGATTGAATAAAACCTAATTTGATTTGAATTGATTCGAATAGTAAGAGCATTTAATGCAGCAAACAATGACAATGAGCCATTTGCAGACACTAGACTTCAAATAAACATACTGTACGTGCATGTACTATCTTACAAAATATTGTACTTGCCGTTGTTGAAGTTAAACATTGTCCCCTGACTGACGAGAGGACTAATCTACCATCATTAGAAGATCCAGTTAACACTTGCTAATCCAATATCTGTCTCGCTAATCAAGCACTTCACTCAATGATCCTTGGGAAACAAATCCTGATATCAAAGTAAGTCCAATATTCCAATTTCCTGGAAACAAGTGGCGGGAAATTACGGTCGATGTCCCTTTCCAAGTTAGCTTGTCTTTGTTATTACTTGTGCCTTGAAACTGCAGGATATCACTACCAAAATCATTCACGATACAACAGTCAACGCAGGAAGCTCAAAATGGCAAATCCTGTTTAATACACAAAGTTGTTTCAAAATGAGAAATTTCAAATCCGTAGTTGGTGAAGCGAGAACCAGGATAAGTGT